AAACCATGATTTCATATTTTAAGGATCGTTTGGTTGACATTTTTCTCAAATCATGGTTTGGGTCCCAAAACCATGATTTGGGGTGCTTGCCAAACAGGTCCTCTATGTGGGTGACCCACAAAATTCCCTTGTTGTATAAATATTAAATCACGCTAGAGTTGTTTAACTTGTTACAAGACCTGTTTGAAATCATGTTTCAAAATATTTATAAGCATATTTTATATATTATATATATTTATTTCATTTATTTATCTTGTATTTTATAAATTATAATTAAAAAGTTGTTTATAAACTATTCAAAACACGTTCATAGTCTCCAAAGAGAGGTGTAATCATGGAATTTTCAGTGGTTTAGACCCTCGGGAAAAATTTGTTAAGGAAAAAAAAGGAAAATCAAATAGTTTTTAAGAAAGTAACGTAATCACAAAAAAAGCCCTAATGATAATAATATCAGAATTTGTCATTTTATATTACTTAGTAGTTATGAAACTTCTTGATAATTATATCTCATGAAACTTCGCAGTGATTGTTCCAAAAAATTAAGAGAGGCTAAAAGGTGGAGAGAAAAAAAAATCGGCTATGGAAAGTGTCGGTGGAGCAGCGGTTCTTGAGCTTTCTTTTCAGTTCTCATACGTCAGTTTCTGGTGAGCCCTGGGCAGAGCAGGAACGAGGTAGCCGCCCCGGGGAAAAAGCATCCATTCATTTGTGCGGCGGTTGTTTCAGCCCTGAGGAAAGGGGCCATGCCTCTTTGAATTTCTCACAATTCGACTCCTTACAGTACTTCCATGTGATTGTTGCAAACCAACTTCTAGCCAGTTAGGTGACCTACCCTTGTTTGCACGGAATTCAATTAATGAATTTATTTAATTGGGTTTTGTCAAAAAAATTTTATCGATTAATTTATATTGATTTCCTATTTAGTGTGCATACTTCTTGTTGAAACATGCATTTTCCTTTTCGTACCTCTGAACTTAAAGACGGATCATGGAAGTTCCCTCATTTTCCCTACTCCATCAAGTTCCCTCCTTATATATATAGATATATAAGACTAGAGTAGTATTACATGTTCGGCGAATTGGGATCGGGGCCTAACCTCCATTGTTATCAGCTAAAATATAAGAACCCGCCATTTTATACAACTCTATCATATCATATCCTCATAAAGCGTCTGACACGGCACAGATTTATCTAAACGAAGAAGCAATTGGCAAAAGTAAGTAAATACTGGGAACGAAATGTGTTTATGATTGCGCGTTTGCTCAAAGAAAAAGGGGGGAAAAACTGAGATTGCTCATTTAACTAGCAATTCTGGATGGGGACTAATGGCATCTTCCCGCCGTATACCTCTGGGAGCTGATCCTCCTCTATATCTTCCAGCAATCTTGATTTCAACTTCTTGTTCTCCACAAACACAATCTGTGCACACATCCTTCAATCAATAAGAATATATCCTTAAAACATATAACATGCAAATTTGAAAAAATGTCACCTTCTTCTTGGTTTTCTTGTCAATGAAAGGGTAAACAATCTTCCATGCTGCCATAAATATGGAGGGTGCGTTCACAATGAATAACTTCCCCAGCCGTTCTGGGTAATAATCCTGCAACCACAAGAAACCCATCATGAAACTACTAAGATATGATTCCTGATCAAGTTCTTGATCAACTAACATACCCACTTCAATAGAATTTTCCTGTATTTTTGAACTACTTGTTATCTTGCCCACAAAGAGTGTGAGGGAAAAATGATTTCAACTTCACCTGCAAAATCTTTAGAGCGCCAAGATAACCACGAATATCACAGTTTGAGTATCCCCATCCTTTAAGATCTCCTATACCCACGAAATTCTCTTCACCTGGTGGCATCCTGAGACACGCCAAAAGGTATTTTACTTTTAAAAGTTACAAACTTCTGCTGTTTTCACAGTTCTAAGTACTGGTTCAGCATCTTAACAACACAGGGAAAGGAATTACCTTGAACAAAGTTTATCAAGAGAGTACACTGCAAACCCTGTAGACGCAAATTTAGTTTGTAAGAACTGAATTCTGGTGTCAGATTTATAACTGATTAAAGGATTTTAGCAAAAACTAACGTTTGAATTCGTCCAGACCGCCGACTTTGTTTTGGAAGTGTCTAGCACCAAAGACAATTGTTATAGGACGTCCTTTCTTATCGAGTCCTTGCGTGAAAATCTTGTTCTGGGCAAGTTCATTTGGAACCTCTGATAGAGAAATAGAACCATTTGGAACAAATGAGCGCCTCCATTTCAAGAACTCCAGGAACATTTCTGAAGCCTTCTCTATATCTAGTTCACGAGCGCGCAAGAATCTTCTCATCGTCAAATCATCATATTCCTGAAATATTATTAACATTTGATCTCAACGTAAGAAAATGAACAAACTCTCTCAGAATCATGTTCATTAAAGATGTTGAAAGCTGCAGGTATAGTCCACAGTCCAAAACGGAACGAAGGTGAATGTGAAGGCAAAGCAAAACCACAAAACCCTCAAGACAGAGAAGCAGAAGAATCACTTCGAGATCTGAGTCCGTAGCAAAGCAAATTTCTATTCTCACTAGTCTCACAGATCTAACCATTGAAAATAAAAAACTGAAAGTCATCAAAAGAAGCAGCTAGTGTTGCTAGCAATTTTGCACTTCATTTTATTTTTCTGTATTTTACCATTTTCTATGAACTTTATGATCTTATGAAAACTAAACAGGTGGAGGTGGCAGCTAGAGAAGATCAAGGAACAAAGCTGTCGGAAAAATGGAAGATGCCAAACGATTACCTTAGCAGAGGGATCCTTGGACTCAACGAAAGCTCTCATGAGAGGAATTTTGGACATCTCTGTCTCAGAGCTGTTCATGTCCTCTATGTCTTCTTCTAAAGCCATTACTACTGCCGGTGTTGCCGCCTTTCACTGCATTTTATGGGCGGATTCCCTGTTTGAAATCTTCTATTCACGTCCCAGAGCTCAAGTTTACGTACGTTCCTTAAATATCATCTTCCCTATCACTAGATGTCCCCACTCACCTAAACCTCTGCTTCTTCATTGAATGCTACCGCCCTGCTCCTGTTATTTATGGCTTACGCCAAGATTTTTTGTTTTATTTCCATAAACGGTTTCAGATTGAGAATTCCTCAAATTTTGTATGTGAGTCAGACTCGGCGATATCAAGCAGAAATTTTTAAGACTGATGATCCGAACTAAATGCTAAACTTCCAGGTTGTGCGACGATAAGGGGGACACATAAAATGGGAGCTGAGCTACTCAATCTTTGATTTGAGAGGAGCCCCATCCAGGTTGCGTGATATGCTTAGATGAGAAGTAAATGAAGCATGCTTTGTCTTACTCACAGCATCGATCACGGGCACTCAAACTTTAAAAATTGTTTCTTACAAAAAATGTGTTTGCAATATGTATGTTTATTGTTATTATTATAATAATAATAAATTTAGAGTCTCAAGTTACTTTGAATTTCGATTAATTTCGAGTCAAAAGTGTTAAAAATTAAATATTATACATTTATGAAAATTTAAATTTGTTTTTTTTGTGAAAATTTAAATTTGTATTTTTCTGTTTAATTTTTATCAGAGACTGCTTACCAAAATTTTGTTGGAAATATGTGTATTTATTTATTTTGACTCTTTTACCCTTTGCGTTCTCTCACAAGATATGCATCCTTCGCATTGGAGTGCTATGGCTGCCTGCGTTCGAAGCTAAAAGGGGGGAAAATGGACATTTTGTTTCGTTTCTCATCCACTTTGTTATGCTTTCATAATAACTATTTACTTTTCCGATCCTTAATATAAGACTTAATTGTTAAGTTAGTTTTGGTTCTAAATATAAGACTCATTTTTATATTTATAATTTTTTCTAAATTACCCCTATGAATACTCCCTCATCCATAATCAAGTAGAACAGAGAGGGGTATTAAGAAAGATGATTATGGTGTTTTAGGAAAAACGTGTCACATTTTTATAATTAACTAACTTACTTAATTTTTTTATCTAATCAAATTAGTTAAATAGATCTTATATTAAGGACCGGAAGAGTAATAAATTTGACTTTTATTACAATTTTAATCTAAGACTATGAATATTATATATTTTTGTTAAAACATTGTTACATTATTGTTAATTTCAATTTTTTTCCTTTCTGGAACTAGCAGGCCCGTGTTCTTTTCTATAGGAAAGGGACATTCCTTCAATAAATGAAATTACTTGGCGAGAATGCAATGGGAATGGGCCCATGCTCGCATACCCAATGGATCACTAAAAATATTAAGAAGGGGCCACAAATTTATTGTTGGACAGCTGCTCATAAGGATTTTTTTCTTCTTTTTTGTTATTGGTGACAAAGATTGTTTTCTTTTTGTTACCAATACATTACACGCATAAAGATCACCATAACAAGCTTTCATTAAAAAGGCCTCAAATTTTTAAGATTAATTCCAAAAAATAAGATCCTTCCCTTAAAAAAGAAAATAAATTGCTGAGACAAATAATCTCTCTCATATAATACCCGCTCGTAAAAATTCAACACTCAAACAATGGAAGATTTAATATTCATGCATTAGAATTTTTTTTAAAAAAAAAATTTCCCATGCGGCCACGAAAATAATGATAACATCAAACCAGGAATCAGCACATTGCAGTTTGATTTCTAGGCGGCTTTAATTCTGCCCCCTTTTATCCACTAATAATGCACGTCACAAAAATAAATGCATGAGCTGTTAAGATAAGATAATCATTACAGTATGTATCACGAAAAGATTGCATCTTAAAGAACGTGGGGGCTTGAAAACTGGTTTACCTAAACGCCAGCCTCTCAGGCCAACTTTACAAAGTAATGAATAATTTTTTTTTTTTTTAAAAAGGAGGGGGACCAGCCTCAACCGTGCATTGATTTTTGAATGCTGCTTTCAGTTCGCCAAAAAAAAAATCCGGCTCTCGCATGGGCATGAAAGATGCAAGATGCCTACGATAAAGCCCAACATTCTTAAAACAGTCTCCTACTAGTAATATTCTCAGCAAAGAGTTAAAATGTGGGCTAAAGGTCGTGAACTGAAATCCCAATTCTGCACAAAGAAATGCTAAACTTCCCTTTGGACCACAAAATGCATTACATACACTAAAGAACAAGGCACCATTTACCACACTAAATGAATGTTCATCAAGACACGGCCAAGGGAGCAACAATCAATCACATGCTATTGCCATATATACAGAATCTAGATCAGTAAGCACCATCAACTATACAGCTCAAAACTGGCCGCACATGATACGACCCCTCCAACGTTTGATAAGCAAGATCCGGCAGTCTATATACGATGGACCAGCCCATAGGCAGCCAATGAAATTGATGGACAAAATTAGTAATACGTGTCAGGAGCCTCGTAGTCAGAATTCAGAAACCATGATCTCACGTTCTCACCGTCCTAGCTTCCCACTTGAAAGCCTCTTCTCTTGCAGCCTTACCTTGTCACGGAGTTCTTCGATGGTATCAGATGCTTCCTACAGTGGAAAGACAGGTTAAACAAGATATCATCATATAGAATTAGGATGTTTCTTTTTCCTGGATAAAAACAGACAAACAGCTAAATCTCCTTTTACACTCCAATTTTGGAGGGAAGAGTGGGAAGTTAAACCTGTAACTTCTTTCGCAATTTTTTCTCCTCAGCATCTCGTCGATCCCTTTCTTCGGTGAATACATCAATTATAGTTTCTTGTTCCTTGTTCAATTCTTCAATCGTCTTCTCAGCAGCCCGGAGCTGGTAATATAATGTTCAAGAGATGATAAGAAATATGCAGAATGTGCCAGAAATATTAATAAAGTCAACGTTTTCACCTAAAAGCTTATGCTACTGGATTTAAGTGATCCTCGACAAAAGGAGTCAGCAACTTTATAATTTTACTAGCTAGATAACTAGTTAAGGCACACACTCCCCGACTCCTCAAATTCCATTCCAATTTAGGGAGAAAAAAAATATCCTTTCTAATTTAATTCACTTCGACCATGAATTAGATCGCAGATATCCTCCTTAGCACAGCAATGATGAAAGTAACAAAAGTATGAGCAAACCTAAAAGAAAGATAATTCAGAACTAAAGTATATACATGCAGAAGTTATAATAGGCAACAATCCAGTTCAATTACATATAAGCTAAAAGAAGAGCATTGTCATCACGTGAAACTACAACAGACTGATCATCAATCTGATCAATTTTCTTTCTTTCCATAATAGAAAATAAGTAGTCGCATTTTAAACCTGAGCTTCAAGAGATTTGCACTTGTCCATTTCATGCTGCAAATCCCGCCTTAATTCTCCAATAATTTCTTCCTCCATCCCGCTTAATCTACAACGCAAGAATCGCAAATTATAAGAATCAAGTCCAACAAAGCAACCCAAACAGCCAGCGAGCAACAAGTACAACATATACCTTTCCTTCAAGTCCCGATTCTCTTCTTTCAACTGCTCCAAAGTGCATATATCAGGATCAGAAATTGGACAACGGGCTTCACTAACATCATTCCCCTGCAATTCAACCACCATACGCACAATTTTGAGTTTTACCAGTCAAACCAAAATATCCAAAATGATGAATTCAACCACTTCCACCATATTGTATGCAAATAACATCAACAAAAACGAACAAGGAATGCTTCTTATTAGACATTGAGATTAAGCAAATAGGTAGACAATCATGCTTATACAGGGAAAATGCATCACCTTTGGCTTGGATCCTCTTGGGGACTTCAAGGTTCTTCCGCTTAATGTGATATCTTGGAGAAAACTGTCCTCACCTAGAGATTTCTCGGCCTGAAATGTCTTCTGCTTGTCTTCAGTTGCTCGTTTCTTGGGGTGAACAACATAATCTTCATCATTATCATCCTCTTCAGACGTTGCCAGTTCGTATGAACTTTGTTTCCTTCCAATTCTTTTAGAAGAGGCTAACTTATCAATATTTGGTGTTGCTTTGCGGCTTGAAGCAGAGTATTTCCCCTTAAAATGTGATGATCCCGGAGTATAATCAGGAGATGTCTCTGCAAAACAAAGTATAGAAGTAAAAGTTCACGAGTTTGTCCTTTCCAAAACAAAAAGGATTAGCAACAATTACGCAATCAAAGCTAAAACCAAGACCTCCATCAAGTACATAAATAAAGCAAAAGCAAGACCTCATAACTGACCTCTATCTGCCCTCTCAGCTCGTAATTTCTTGCTACAATTAGGAGCATAACCAATTTTCTCACGGTTTGAGTGCCTACCCAGAGAAGAATGAAAAAGATTTAAGTTATTTTTAAAAAAATAGAGAGCCATGACTATATAAGCAACCATTTAAAAAAAAAAAAAAACTCATTTGCATGGAGAAACAAGAATTACCAATAACTCTTCTGCATTTGTACCAGTCGCGACTCTAGTCTTGATAGAACTATTGTACGCTCAAAGCCTTGCTTATCATGAGCTGGCTCCACAAAGTTAGCTTCTAAAACTCCTGCGTTTGTATGGTGCAAAACTTGTCAGAATGAAACACGGCCAATTTGGCAGAGGTAAAAAGAACAAGACAAAAAGACCCACCTATGACCCCTCGCCCACCACTTCCTGCAGGATTCCAAATCCTCCAGAAGGGCTGAAATAAATCAAAACCATATGTGAGACCAAATTTTATTGACAATCTAGAGTCCTCCAGAAACACTGCTACTATTTAAGTCCCAGCTACCCACTACAGACAACAGTCGATCTTTGTTCATTTATCATGAATGATGAAGCAGAAAATGTACACTTCTAAATCATACAGAAGCCTTGATTTTATTCTCAGAAATATATAAATAAATCAACATTTCTAATCTTACAAGATATAACGATTCACTTAATTTCTTTTAAAAAAAGAATAAATTACACAAACCCCCTAAATTTTGTTGAAATTACACAGCACTCTCCACTAGTTTACGATATACATAGACCTCCCCTAAAACAAAAATTTACCATGCAATCTCAGCTGATTTTGAAAATTTCTACTAAAATACCCTCCACTAACCTAAATACAAATTTTGAAAACAAAAAAGAAAGTTGTTCAGGCTTTAGAGAGAGAGAGAGAGAGAATTAGAATGAGACTAGAGTGTAGGGTATCTTTTTGTTTGAAAAGAGGTTTATGTATATTCTAAAATAACAGAACCACATACAAAATAAAATGCTATATAATTTTGTCCACAATCTTCGTCAACCATGAATAACACTACCTTTATGAGTCGATTCTTATGATAAACATTGAAACCAGAAACATCAATATGATGAACTGCATCCTTGACAAATCCAATAGTCACAACAGCAACCATCTGTAACAAGATCTAAATGAAATTGTGCAGATGCGTCATAAAAATAAAAACAAATGTTCAACAGGCATGTTACATTTAAATCCTTTGGAGCCCCATCCACGCCTGCTTGTGGCCTGTATGTAACCTCCTGAGACATCATCATATCGTTCACAATATTGTGATGCACAACATCTTTCCCACGAAGAATAATTCTGAAGCCTGGACGAAGCCTCAGATATAAAATTGAGGCATAACTCTGGATACAGATAGAAAAATAGTAAGAAAAATATGACAATCTCTCTTGTACACTTAATAAAATATATGACGAACCCTTAACGAATGTCGATATGTGAGGAAGTGCCTAGAGTTGGGAAACTCTTTAGCCATCTGTATGTGTTTCTCCTCCCGGTTCACTCCTCTGATTTGAATATCCTGTCATATATAATTAAGAAAAATTAAGAATACTAATATTAATATTTCATGAAGCTTGCTTATATATGCAAGGATTGTTTTCCCCTTTTTGTGGTGGGTAATGGGGTTGCCAATATCACAGTCATACATGCGGATCTGCATCAAAATCAAGTTCCAGTTGACCTTGGTCATCCTCCCAAAGGTTGTATATGATTATTCGTGTTCCCTGACCTTTCATCATATTAACTGCAAAGAGCAAAGCTAACAAAGTTATTCATCCTTAGAGGAATAAATGATGGCTCATTCATCGTCAATAACTAACTGCTCAAAACCAGAAAATGAACCAGTAGAATAGGACAAACCAAAAAAAAAAAAAAGTGAATGAAATACATGCTTACGTACATTGTGTGCAAAACTGTATATATATATATATATATATATGTACAGTTGCATTACATGTTTCAATCATGAAGATCAAAGTCAAAAAATTTTACATCAATCCAACATTGCTAGATACTCTATCAACATATTTAAAAAGTAAAACACAAAACGTACAGTGTGCTTTCCAGATATAAAGAGGATATTATCTGGCCAATTATATACTTCTTGTCGCCAACTTCTTTCTAAAATCCTATAAACATGACCAATATGATAATTATTTCTAATTCGACGGTTAGATCAACGAAAATCACTTCCTATGATGAGATATTGTGAGATTAAGTGTCCATTACACAGGCATCTTTTCATATGTATCACGATTAAACGTTTTCCCGAAGTATCAATTGATTACCTGCCGAAGAAGATCATCTTCACTGGGGAAAGGTGACCATCGAACTATTGTTTCAACATTTTTAGTCCAATCTGCCAAAGAAGATCGTATTATCCTATTCCAGCCCTGACCTTCTCTTTCATAATCAAGCTTTCAGTTCACACGGCACAAAAAACAACGGTAAGATGCAATGGAAAATAATAAGTAATTGCTACTACAATGTCTTAGATTAAAGTGAAACGCAAATCAACAAATATGAGTTATACATCTTGAGTCTTATCTAAAACGTAAAATTTATAGTAAGTACGAAAAATTACCATGGGTACTACAATGTCTTCCTTCCCTGTACACCTCAAAAACGTGTAGGACAGCAAGCCAATACTTTGTGTAGAGCTAACAACAACAACCATGTCACATAGTTACGAAGGCACCATGATCAATAATGAAGACAATAAACTATAAGAGACAGTATAAAAAACTAACAAGAAGAATAAACACTGAAGTTGTTCATTTTTTATAGAAAAGAATTGATGTTTGAAGTATAAACATTAAATCTGACCAACAGGCCAATGATTGCACCAGCAATAAAGCAACCAACAGAGTAGTTGCAGTGGGGGGAAAAAATGTCATACAGAACATAATTCAATGATCACATTTTATGATCGTGTTTTTCTCATTCTTAATTTGTAAGGGGAAAGCAATAAGAAATCAAACCAACCTCTTTCCATCTCTCCCCGGATAGCGTGAGAACACAATTACATCAGCCCCAAGTCTCATGGTACTCGTTTTAAAACCATTTCCGTCTATCACATCAACAGTAAAGGATCAGCAAGCCCACTTCAATATAATATGCAATGAGTTAAATTTTTGTATGTAGACAAGGGACTTAACACTTTACATTGCCCAATAGTATTTGATAATTTGCTTTTCACAGAGTAACCCAGTGACATGCATTGACGCATTTTATCCGGATCCATTCCACCTCCATTATCTGGAAAAGCGGTAAATAATTAACATAACAAAAACAGATTGCCAAAAGAAAGATCGCCATGTAGCTTTATGCGGGAAGGGAAAAGGGAAATTGATAATGAGATGGAATAAGCATAAATGACAACGACATTACTACGACTCAAACATCTGAAGTTGCAAACACATCAATCCTACCTGTAGGGTATATAATTTGTCGAAAAATAAACATATAAAGAAAAGGTGGGGAGATGGAATTGAAACAAGGGACTCCCATTGTTTGGTAGTAAAGGTCATGAGTTTTCATTTGAAAGCAACAAAAATTGAACAAGTTCCTAAAATCTTGATTCAAGCAGCTAGCAATTCTTCACTTAGGACTTCAAGCACATCTAATCCCTCATCAAATTCCAGAACCTTCTCCTTATAAGCTGCTTGCGCCATTTTTTCTTTTTTATATATAAATATTATGGAATCATTAGTACTCCAGCTTCTAAATTATAAGTTAGCGGTTCTGCTTTTATGGAGTCCAAAGCATGGAAGTTCTCATACAAACAAGGATGCTTCCATCGGTCCTCTTCTTTCTCCCCTCCTATTATAGCTACCCATCATAACTACTATTATTCTGTTCCAATTTCATTTTAATTATAGGCAATCCACTTAGCCAACATGTAATTCAAAAAGTGTCACTCTGCTCACCTCATACATTCCTCTTTAACTTCAATGGAAAAGAGTAAGAACTAGGCAACAGTATAGGTGACAAAAGTAGGCAACTTGAATTTAGGTGTGGAGAGGCCAGGCGAGCTCATCTAATTCACCCCTCCACATTTTACTTTTCCTTTCTATAGCTCTATAAATGAAAAATTGAAAATTCAGATACTATAGAAATTTTTTTAGAAAGAATGGAAATACCTTCAATCAGCAGCATCCTTGTACCATCTTTTTTATTTATCACCATATCAACGTTGACATAAGTAGCCCCGTTACAAACCTGACTCAAAATAAGTAAATAAGTGAAATTATAGCAAGCAGTATCCCACTCAATATTATAACAAACAGTGTATCATACCTCATCCAATGAGTTATCCAAAAGTTCAGCAAAAGCTGCCCAAAAAAAAAAAAAAAAGATGTTAAGCACAAATAACAATCACCAACCAATAACCATAAAAATACTGAAGTCCAAGACAAAAAAAATCTTTTATTTCACCAAACAATTTGAGAGGCACAAGCATGTCATTCCTGTGACTGAACATTCATAAAAACGTGCCATTTTACCTCCAAGTGCCCACTTGTGACTTGTGGCATTAGAATGCAGAAACTTCGGATGAACTCTGACATGATCCATGCCACCTGTATAATTATAATAAATCACAAGTTATAATTGCAGGGTCAGAGACGCAGAGAAACTCAAGGAGCCTCAGGCTTGACAACCTTACAAATAGCACATAAAGTGAACAAAATAATTAAAAAAATAACTATTCAAATGCTAATTTAATTTACAATTTATCAACAGCTTTATTAAGCTCAAAAATGCCGAGCGTCTTCCCCCTAAATCTACTTTGGAATATAAACTGTGACAAGGCCAAAAACCTTCACCCAGCATGAGAATTATTACGTTATTATCATTTCAACCCCATGTGGAAAATTCCTGCTTCCGACAGTTAGAAATATGTTTGTCAGATTTGAAGTGGGGAAGAGAAAATGGTAAGAGAATGGATGGCATGGCATGCAAAGGGCAGAAACAAGATGGAAAAGGGTTGCTTCTACCTTTTAGGTTAATTAATGGAGAAAATAGGGAAAAGTTCAAAACCCCATTTGTAATAAAAGCAGAGACTAAAGGGGAAAGATTCCTCTAACATCCCACTCGTCCTCTGAAACTTCTAATTCTTGAGGGGAAAGGCCCCTTTCCCGTCAGTTTCCCGCCATCCAATGTAATAACCACATGCAAACATTTCCTCAGTTGAGAAAGACTCTCAACCTTTCTAGTCTACAAACTAATAGCTCTAGCTCATCGTGCAAATTTCCGTGTTCCCAAGACTACATAAAATCGCCAATGCCTATATAAATTAATCCGGAGCCAGACATACAGCAAACTAGTGCAACCATTTCAATGTTCCCCAGTATACAAATCCTCTGAGAACTTAATAGGAACATAAATCAAACACGAAAACTAGAAACTGACATAAAAGCCAGCTGCTTGAAAAGGGGATGCCATGGTCACTCGCCGTTTCTCGCAAAAAATTAAAAAAACAAAAACAACCTGAAGAGTCCGTTTAGAATAGTAAGTGATATGCAGAAATTGCCGTACCGGATGAAGAATCCCAAGCATCACTACTCGCGCCCTCATAGTCTCCGGCCTTCCAGAATTGCTTGCAGCTCTTGGCGTTGGACCGCGCATTTAAGTATCCGTTGCCGTTTGCATGTATCGAAGTAGAAGGCAACTCAGGAGCTGGCAATCTCAACATCGGCTGTGGCGTTTCCGAATGAAGAGAACCAAGAAATCCGAGAGGCAAATGGACTCCGCCCTCATCGGTCTTTCGCTTCATTGAAATACCTCCATGGTTGGCAACCAAAGCCCCATCTGTACCAGTTTCCCTTCTTGAAAGGGCTGGGACAATTCTGCTGCCGATTAAATTGTCCAAATCAATGTCTGAATCCGAGTCGCTGCTGCTGAGTTCGATTACAGTGTCAGGGGCGGTCGAAGTAACTTCGGTTTTCGGCCTGGAGTTTTGAACATTGGGAGCACCGCAAGGTTCTTGCTTTATACAAGCGTCCATTGTTGCTGTGGCCAGCACGGAGGAAGAAGCAGTTGCAGAAAATAGACAGACTACAAAGAAGTAGAAAACTAACAAGCACGTTCAGCAGAGCAACTAAACCGGAGTATTTGGGAATTCCTCGTGAGACCTTAAACCGCCTCGTTCGATTTTGTCCTTCCAGTTTCACCCGACATGGGCCGGAAGTTAAAGCGGCGCCGAGAACTTTCGAGGCCAGACGCGTCGCAACAGCCCGTTTATCCACGTCAACCCGATCGTACCCCTCTCCCCCTCCTTCTTCTTCTTCTTCTTCTTGTATTTTCGGCCCTGGAAGCAATATTGGTTACTTAATCCAACCCAATATGAACAAATGCCATGGGCTCTGCCAACAAGTGTTGGTCCAAAGATTTAGACACTTTAAATATTATCTCCTGGGTTTGATTCTTAAAGCAGTGTGTATGAAAAAAAAATATTATTAGAAGAGGTCCCCGTTACGACACCTGACAATATTCCGAGAGATTAGTCTCTTGTTGTTAAAGTGAGAGGATGCTTTGGGTAACTAAAAAAAATTGCCATGGGCTCTTGTCTTTGTGACTTTGAGTATATGAGTGACAATTTCTCTCTCTCTTCCTTTTTGGCCAACATGAATGACAATATAGACTCCATCTTCCTCAGCCAAGTTTTCAGCCACAACTCCCATTCCTTGCAGGAGAATCTCAGGATCTTAACCAAGATGACCTTGACCCAGAACTTGAAGACTCCTACTATACAGGGAGACACTATAACTCAAATGACCTTGACCCAGAAGGCATCATGAATCTATCCCTTAGCCATGAATTTATCTGTAAAGACTAGGGAACACCATCATAAAAAATCTCCTTTTGAGATACTTGAGATAAGGGGGACCCGTCACATTCCTATTTTATGTCACCATCTACTTTTACTTTATTAAAGTAGTTCGTCTCGTAATCTCTTTCATCTTCTTATAATCAGTAAAGTAGTTGCCTTTATTAAAGTAGTTGACAATAGTGTCATTTTTAGGATAGCAAGTCATTATGGCTCCTACCCGTCGTAATGATATCTACTATTAGGACTTTGTCATGTAATGACACCGAGCCTCTATATAAACCCCACTTTGCCATTAGTTACAGGCAGAAGGAGTTGTATCAACTTCCTTGTATAATACTAATGTGCTTTCCTCATGAGTTCTCTCTAAATTTCTCTCTTCTTCTGAAAGCCCCACTTATAATGTCTTTCTTTTGTCGCTAGAAATTCTAAGTATGCTCTACACTTGCCTCTTTAAGAGGATCCTGTGCATCAGAAATAGAATCTGACCATGATCTATGAAGGAGTGTTTAGTGACAATCTTTCCAATTATCCTAGATCTGGTATTCAAAGCCGAGAGTCCTAACGTGGCCCGTTGATGAGTTGAGAATGAATGGCTTTACCTGGACTAAAGCTTTGGATATCAAACTATGTTAGCTTGGTCCAGTTCAGCTAACACCCCGTGTGGTATCAAAGCCAGCACCCTTTTTGACAGAAGTGAGATATTGTTTGTGAAGGTGAGTAGGAAGATATCATCTTATCATGAGTGAAACCTCAAACAACCTTGAACCTGTTCACCTTTCTTCTTCTTTTATCCCACAAAGACTTCCCTCCTCTGTTCATAGAACTCTTTCTAGAAAAACAGAAAACCTTGTTGAGATAGATCATCTTCCTGAAGATGCTAGAGTTCAGGAAACAGATCTACCTCTTCTTAGCCCTTATAGCCTTTATCACCGTACCAATCGTGTCACCAGGAATGTAAGAAACCTGATCTCCACTCGAGGACCCCATGTAAAAGAAGTTGTCCAGTCTACCAATCTAGAAAAACTGTGATCTTCCTGCCTCTTCCTATGAACAATATGTCACTATTGATATACCTCAACCTTTGATTAATGAATGGGTAGCTCAGGGTTATACCCATCTCTATATAGGTGTTGTACGCTTTATTCTTACACTCCATGGGAGAAAAGGAATTTCAGCCACTGCTAAAGTTGCTCTAGTTGATACTACCTATACTTCCTATAGTAATGCTCTTATTGGTGTTGTCTTGACCACTCTCAGCAACGGTAGTGTCATCCTTACTGTGGCCCCAGACTTCAACATCAAGCTTTCAGATCCAACTTTGACGGACAGACTAAAAATCCAAGTTCAGATAGTTGGAGCAGAACAAGATCCCAGAGCCATCGCAACAACTCTTCATCATCAACTTATCTATAGAGTTCAGAACCATGCTCTTGATATTCATTTTTCAAATTCCACTAAAGATGCTATTTATGTGGTTTCTGATAGAGTTGATGATACCTCCGTCATCCAGATTCCCTGATAGATCCCAAAAGAGGAACTTGCTCAGTTGATGCCTCTTGAATGGATCACCAACTATGAAAAACACTTTCATGGTGTTCAGAGGGATGTTCATACTTCTACTCCTCCTGAGATAAAAAGGCTCCTAGACGGCATAGTCAAAACTGTTTTCACCAAGACAGGCCAAGAAGGTTCTTTGGTACCTTCTGGATGTATTTTGACTATCACCCCAGCTTATGTTCCATCCAAGCGAGATCCTCCAATTGCTTGGGTAGATCAAATTGCCAAACCATGTTATATGTCTCACATAAATGGTCATTTCATTTGGGATCATGCACCAGAAGAATGTGATCTTGACTGTGAATGTGATACACCTTACTGGTGGGAAGCATCAGACGATAAAAATGAAGATGGATGGTCTGATCCCATCAGATACGCTGCAAAGAAGAAAAGGGAGAAGAATACATCTCCTTGTTCCCACAGGCATTACCATCATCACCATGATGATGATGATCATGGTCCGAAGCATAAAGCTAGAAACTGGAAGGCTCTTGTCCCTACTATCCCTTCTAGCAGACTATCTTTATATGATTTACTGAAAGAAACAGGTCATGAAGGTCTCCTTCCTAAACAGAGGCCAGATCTAGTGATTCTTGTCATCCAACAATCCATCTCGTGTATAGCAATGATGGATCCTTTTAAGCAGGATTTTCCTCCCCTTGAAAGAAGAACCAACAGAGAAACAAAGGTTACAACAAGACCTTTCTCTGTTCCAGCAGAAATCTCTCCTACTAGTGAAGCTAGACCAATCTCAGTTGCAGAAGAAGTTCTTAACTGACAGACCTAGAATGCGATCGCCAGAACAGAACTCTAACAAAGATTGATTCGAAGCTTGACCTGCTAACTCTTAAAACTGACACTCTGACAAGTAGACTCGACCGAGTCTCTGATCAAGTCAAATCTGAAGCGATTTATCAAAAAGGGATATATTGGACCAGAATTTACTAGGAAGGAGCAAGAATTGTCACAAATCCGAAAGGGTTTACAAAGAATCAAGTCAGACATCGCAAAGAATCATTCACAAACCATTTATGACCCTTATCCATCTTACCCCTCTAGTTTCCAACTTCCTACATATCCAACCTCACCTCCTTCTTACCCTAGAGAATCTGATTACGGTAAGGTTTTCAAAATGTCTTATCCTATTTTGAGACAGTTGAGAAAAACTCAACCCACTCTTCCACCGGTACAACCAAATCCTCTTCCTAGACCTCCAATAAGATCACTTCATTTCCCTTCATCTGAAAGACTTTTTCACCCATCACCCTCATACACTAAACCTATTGAACCAATATCATCCTCGCAAGGGGTTATAATAAGAACTCCACCATCATCTCTACCAAAACAAACTTCTCTTCCAGACAGAGAAAAAGGAAAAGAAGTTGTTGATCCAAACAAAACCATAGCTACTTTTCAATCCTTGAATAAAGATCAATCATCAACAGATGGAAGTTCTGAAACTGAGTCTAATCCTTCTATTGAATATAGTTCTAACTTTGATTTTGAGACATATCGTGCCGATATCTCTAAGGTAGCAATGCTTCAACCAAATCCTATAGTTGAAGATCCTTTTGATGAAGAACCATTTGTCTCTCATACATCTGAGCCTAGAAGAATAGACTATAAACCGACTATAGGCTCGTGGTTCACTTTTGATGACCTCCCTTCGGAAAAATGGAGAGACAGGCTCCATGAGTTCGGAGCATGGATTGACCTGCAGCTTGCCAGGCATGATACAAATCTTGAGAAAGTTCTTACAAAATTTCTCTCAAGACTGACTGGAACATTAAGAGAATGGTTTCAAAGCCTCAGTGATTACCAGAAGATAGCAGCAGCTAGAGTTGATAATGCTAGAACTCTTCTGAGACTCATTCACAAGGAATTCATTGGTGATTTTCAGATCATTGACAAAAGATATCACCAAGAATACTTTGAGATGAAACATTGTTCTTTAGATAAAATAGACCTGCAAAAGCATTTTCAGAGAATGTCTGAAAAATACTACATGCTCGGAAGAGCTAATGATGTCAATCTCAGGCATACTTTTATTGCCTTCTCCCAGATGAACTGCAACCAAAACTTCATAGAGCTAACAACGCACTCCATAGAAATATGTCTGACATTTCTATAGGAGAAATATATCAGTTGGCGTTAGCAACTGTGGATAAGCTCTGTGAACAACAGAAGTTCTTCAAAGGAATGCTGAAAGGACAGTTAAAGCTAAAGCATGCCTGCAAAAGGCCCCATCTGAAGATAAAGTGCAAAGACGATAAAGATTGCTCTTGTTCTACAAAGAGAAAATCTCATTATCACCGATTCAGATATCCAAAGGGTTCTTATTTCAAGAGAAAATCTAGAAAGCCTTTCCTGAGATACTTTAAATGGCGCAGGCCTTATTCTAAGAAGTCCGACAGATGCTATCTGTGCAAGAAAAAAGGACATTTTGCAAAAAATTGTCCTAACAAGACAAAAAAGGATGTGAAGATGCTCGAACACTTACAGACTATTCTAATGATCAATGAAGATGAAAATATTGAATTTGTCATCGAAGAACAAGATGCTCGCGGTGAAGAAACATAATATGTTCTTCCTTTCTCTGAAGATGAAGAAAATGATTATGAATTCTTATCCCAAGAAGATGATGATCCTCAAGGGTATTTATATTCCCTTGAACAACCCGTGTATCCATCTTTCCTTGGTTCCTTGGCTTCTCAGCCAGATCACAACAAAGTCACTCCCAAGCCAAATGTCAAAATCCATATCCTTCCAGGAAGGTATGAAAGGCCAATTCTTGTTATTGCTTTCATAGATATTGGAGCCTGCAGAACCATCATGAATCCTGATATCCTTCCTTCTGAAGCATGGATCCCTTGTGATCAATCCTTCCTTACTG